TTTATTACACGAAAGCAAGCTTTGCTTTTATACTTACAAGACCATCCGGCTTGATTGAGTGAGCTGTTTTGTCTCGTAGTAATGTGGCGCCTGCCTGTATTTCCGTAGCCTTTTCCACTCACAGTCCCTGTCGTCCCATATACGGGTTGAAATTTTGTCATTGATAAGCACCTAAATTGGAACTACTTTTGCACATTTGTTGTTGTCTGAGTGAGGGAAATGCTGTAAATCAAGATGAGTTGATGTGTTCTGAAAGGTGAGATGTTTAGGATAATTATAAACACCACTTTGATGTCATACAATCAAACCACACACCTGTGAGTCCAAATGTGTACTTCACATTTCCATATTTGTAAACTCATGTCATTTACAGTATTAATGTTTATGATCGCTATGTTTGATCCACAGTTAAAAGGATGAGATGCGTTACACCCTGGGTTGTTCTGAAAATAATGTCCCTATGTTTGTTGTATTGTAAAGAAAAGTAGCCGCGGAACACACACTCGAATGCACTCATGACTCCATTCTATGCACACCAAAATTACAATCTGTTTGGCTGAAGTGCCTTTTGAAAGCCTAACACTGTAAGATCGTATTTTATCAATCAGCTAGGCATGTTGGCAATAGAATACATTTTCAAATGATGCCCACCTGACGCAGATGTCAATTTATAATGGAATGTTTTTGGATTGCATTAACAACAACGGTAATTGTGTGATGGTGGGGACGCATGGCTGTTTTCCAAACCAAAAACTACAAGTGTGCTTGCTTTAGTTCCTCAATGGCAAAGCTAGGAGAGCTCAAAAAAGCACCTTATAGTTGAAATCTCTTTCCTTGAGTCATAAAAGTGCATTGAAATTACTTACGAACTGTGCACACCTTGGAGACACCAGTTAGACCTCTCACTCAAACCCTTGTAATAGTTGTTTTCCCTTATTTTACACCTAATCCAACATTTCTATGAATATTCTTATTATGTTAATGAATGTATCCAGAGTATTTTCAGATTTCGTTATTGACAAATGCTGTGAAAAGTACAGTAAATGTGAAATGCACATAAAATCAACAGTGCAATGTTTGGATTCAGTCTTGTGTCAGGTGAACTGTTGTGTAATCACCTTTGGCTAGGTAATTTACCCATAATATCCAAAGTGTTCTCTTTCAATTGCTACCATGGTCATGCATATTCTTTTCATAGTTCTTCTGTTAGAAACATTTCAATTCGGCCCTATCAATATAGGCCAATTAAGGGGTTAAACCTTTATTTTAGCAATACATGTCATTGAGAGAAAATATATTTCATAATAACATCCTTTATTTTTAATATTTAATAATATGCCATTTAGCAGACGCTTTTATCCAAAGCGACTTACAGTCATGCGTGCATACATTTTTGTGTATGGGTGGTCCCGGGGATCGAACCCACTACCTTGGCGTTACAAGCGCCGTGCTCTACCAGCTGAGCTACAGAGGACCACAGTAGGTGCCCAACATAACAACAGGTGGTGGTGTGTTGGACAGTCACTCATATAGATATAATGACCGAGCAGTCTGCATTCCTGATTTCTGTAACCGTTAGCTTTCGTGTGTAATATTGACATAAGCTCAGAACCATTTGTTTTGCAAACATGGTCCTGTTTCATCAATTGCAGTGCTGATCAATGGACAGTTTATTACCTTTATCAAATGAATATGTAGCTTAAAGTTATGTTTGTATTTGTATTTATTTTTGCAGTGTCCTCCTCACAAAAGTCTGAGAGCCGACGGTCCACCACAGTGTCCTACAGAGAGCGAGAGAGAGAGAGAATATTAAAAAAACATAGACCTAATATATACTGTATATAAAGTATAGGCCTAATAGTACATAATAATAAAAGTCATTGGCAAATCAGCCAATGCCTTCATGGTCCTCTTCCTCAACATCCTGATCCGCTATGAGCCTGACCTCATACCCGCCATCGTCTCCATCCATCTCTACCTATACAAAATATATAACTTTATTCTGTAATTAGTTGCCTTGTTTCATAAATCTATAACACATACTATAAAAAGTTTTTGAGTCACTAAAGGGATGTAGACTAACTAGAATTAATGACATTATCTGACTTACAGCAAACAATTTCCCACTTTCCTTGTGTCTAGATAACAATCAGGGACATGGATAGTGGACCAAACACAAAACATATCTAACTAAATTAGGATTTCCCTATACATATAATGTAAAGGTTGTCTATGTAAAAATCCATGAATACATCATTGGATGTATTCTATGGAGAAAATAGGTTATTCCTATAGTTACATATCTATGTAAACAATATCCATTGAGTTTATCACACTATACAGTATATGATGTATATGGGTCTTTCTATAAATATTGGGGCCAATGTGTGACATTGGGATACACATTTGAAAATGGTTTAAAACTAAAATAGAAAGGATCTTCATGCAGTTCCACATGTGTACTTAGAGGAATATATAAAAGTGAATATATTCAAATACACCTATACAACAACATAGGCCTAGGACTAAATATATTTAATATTTATATTTTAGTCATTTAGCAGACGCTCTTATCCAGAGCGACTTACAGGAGCAATTAGGGTTAAGTGCCTTGCTCAAGGGCACATCAACAGATTTTTCACCTAGTCAGCACGGGGATTAGAACCAGCGACCTTTCGGTTACTGGCACAACGCTCTTAACCACTAAGCTACCTGCTAAATATCCTTTCACTTTAAGCAGGGTTCTTAAAGACATTGGCAAGTCAAATTCAAGGACATTCAGGGACTTTTTCAAGCACTTCATTGTAATTTCCAAGGACTGCAATGTTATACAATTGTATAATTTATATAATTGTACATATAGGGCCTAATATAGAACCCCCCCCCCCCAAAAAAAATACAAAATACAAAAAATCATGCAAAACGTGTTAAAAAAATAAATAAAAAAATAGGCCATTAGCACTTTAAGAATAAACTCAATAATTAGGCCTTCCCAATGCATTGATATTCAAATTATTATATTCTAAAATATGTGAGAATAATGTGGACATTGCCTTACTAAATAGATTGGATGCATGCATGGCGATTTGTCTGTAGCCTATATGCATAGCTGCGGGAAGTAGTTTGGGGGTGGGGGTGCTGTGATGTTTTTGCTAAATGTATTTGAGTGTTTACCAGCATTTGTAACTTGAGTCTGATAATTATCTGTACAAAACAGTTAGTCTGATAATACTTGTGGAATATAAAAATACTTGCTTGATATTTTTTCCAACACTTGGGCTGTTGTTGCATCGCGATAGCTGTTCGTCACTTGACTGTCATTCGGAAAATTCCTTCCTGGATCAGATGATGATGTGTGAAAATATCACGGCATAACTAATCAGCTGGACACCAAATGCGCATCCAACAAGTATTATGCATAATTATTGAAGAACCACGCTAATGACAGTATTAATTTAGGTTTTAAGTATCAAGGTAAGGTGACTCTTTCGGTTAGAAGCACTCAAATTAGCAATCACATAATTTTGGATTTGTGTGCCATTGAAAACTGTTTTCACCCTGTAACATAAGGAGACAAAATGTTAAGAAGTTACACTGTATTTCTGAGATCTCTATACAAAACACTGTCCAACAGCTAGATCCAGGATTCTTACAGGGTTCAAGTGCAATGTCTAATTTAACTGATTAATGTTTAATATATGATATAATGACAACTTACACTGCCAGAAAAATTATGTTTTATGTTACACGATTTTGGACAAATCCCTCAAGACACCGACCATGTCCATGATAAAGGGTTAAACCTAGGTTTTAAATAAACTCATGCATTTTATTGAATATAGCTATGATCCCCCCCTTATATCTTCCTGGAATTACATGAAAAAAAATTGGCAGATTATTATCAGTGATTTATCAACAGCTGTAACAAGTTGTCCAGTGTAGGAAATCCTCACTGGTACCCTAGTTTAGATGAAACGTGGCTGGGTCTTTCAGCATGACAATGATCCCAAACACAACCGAATGACAGTCAAGTGACGAACAGCTATCGCGATGCAACAACAGCCCAAGTGTTGGAAAAAATATCAAGCAAGTATTTTTATATTCCACCATAATTTGCAAATAAATTCATTAAAAATCCTACAATGTGATTTTCTGGATTTTTTTTTCTAATTTTGTCTGTCATAGTTGACGTGTACCTATGATGAAAATGACAGGCCTCTCTCATCTTTTTAAGTGGGAGAACTTGCACAATTGGTGGCTGACTAAATACTTTTTCCCCCCACTTTATGTGTTACTCATTGTGTGTACTGTCGCTCCAAGTTGATTTTCTAAATTCAATCCTCAAATACCCTCTCCATCGATGCCTCTGTAAACATGGGTAGGATTACACAAAGTTCTAATTTGAAGCACAACTCCACCTTACAAAAACACATTAAACATGATAATAAAACAAGCAACAACAGCACCCTATGATAAAATAATGGGTATCAAGAGCAATGAGGTAATCATTGAGCTAAAATAACATTTAGATAGTGATATGAATTAAACAAAAATGTGCAAATAGTGCAGATCTTTATGAACGCCTAAGAGCAAATGAGAACAAATAATTGTATCCACAGTTGTATTTAATGTGTGTGTACCCCTATGCTTGCTTTATATTCCTCCTCTGCCAGTCTATGTATACAGCCACCTTCTGTTATGAATATTTGTTGAATGATAATGATATCATTGATATGTCACCACCCCCCTAATTGATACATTATATGTTGTAGTGCAAACTTATGCTTGGAAATGAATAAAAAAATATAAATGGTGTTTAATGTAAATTCATTGTATTTATACATTTGTTTTACTGTATGTTGTTTAATTTTGTGACATAGGGGCAGAGTTTACTAATGGGACAACCGATTAGATCATCCGTGATCAGCCGTCCAAACCATCCCCCACCCCCCTCCTGTCACTCATATACCCCTCCCTCCTGAATGCATCCTCAGACATACCACACCTTCTCACCGTCCTCACAGAATTCAAAAGTGTTGGCCAGTCAGACAGAGGCAGGGCAGACTGCTGAAAGAGGGAGTGGACACATATAGAGCAGAGGGAAAAAGAGGAGAAGAGAGAAAGAGGGCTATCCACTCATCTCCGACAGTGGGGATATTGATGCACATACTTGAGTGAAGAGGAAAATAAAACGGTAAGTGAATATACACCATTCTGGTTTGTTTACAAAATAGCAACATTTGTAGATAAACATCATGATGATAATGCCTGCATTTATTTACTGTGTTTATTATAGATTTTCAGTCAGTGACAGTCATAGATGCTGTATGTGGATTTAAAAGCCTACAATGGAAACGGAATGGAAACTACAATGGATTTTCACCATGTATATAGTTTTAGTATCAATACATACTATCACAAATATTTTATTTCAAATTTATAAATGTTTTATTTCAAAACAACAAACACTCTTATCCAGAGCGACTTACAGGAGCGACTTACAGGAGCAATTAGGGTTAAGCGCCTTGCTCAAGGGCACATCGGAAGATTTTTCACCTAGTCGGCTCGGGGATTCGAACCTTCCGGTTTTACTGGGCCAACACTGTTAACCGCTAGGCTACCTGCCGCCATACCACTAGACTACCTGCCACACACACACACACACACACACACACACACACACACACACACACACACACACACACACACACACACACACCACACACACACACACACACACACACACACACACACACACACACACACACACACACACACACACACACACACACACACCACACACACACACACACACACACACACACACACACACACACACACACACACACACACACACACACACACACACACACACACACACACACACACACACACACACACACACACACACACACACACACACACACACACACACAAAAACTTGCCTTTCGTGACATAACACTCGCACTTCACTCCCATCCCCCCCGATAGCTACTTTATTGAGGAAAAATGTACTTACTATGACTGAAATATGTGGTTGTCCCACCTAGCTATCTTAAGATGAATGCACTAACTGTAAGTCGTCCCGGATAAGAGCTAAATAACTAAAATGTAAATGTAGGGTACAAACACTCAAAGTACAAACATGTACTTTAAATATTAATATATTAAATCATGCAGAGCACAAAAACAGACTAGTCAGTGCAGAATAATCCTGTCCCCCCTAGTGATGCCAAATACTTAATAGAAAAGTAGAGTACAGTAAAGTAAAATAGAGTAGATTAAAGAAAGAGAAGAGACCTTTGTTAACCTTGACTGTTTCCCTATCTTACAGACATGAGTTTAGGAGCAGCATGTGTCTTCCTGAGGGGAGGGAATCATATTGTAAGTATAACAAACATTTTATTCTAAAATATGCTGTATGTGTGGAAGTGTTTGCAAACTGATATGATATGTTGAATGGATTGTGAAAAAAATATATGATAGAGAGAGAGAGACTTACTTATTTTTCCTTTTGTACTTTAACTATTTGCACATCGTTACAACACTGTATATAGCCATAATATGACATCTGAAATGTCTCCATTCCTTTGTAATTTTTGTGAGTGTAATGTTTACTGTTAATTTGTTATTGTTTATTTCACTTTGTTTATTATCTATTTCACTTGCTTTGGCAATGTAAACATATGGGGAAGCTACTTTGAAAATATAGTTCACCAAGCTACCAATTTATTCACACTGGAAGAAGTTAAGCTACACTAAAGCTACCCTTAAGAATAATTACGTTCACTTAACTAAAGTTACTTTTTAAAAGTAATTCACTACATTTATACTTTTTTTATTTAAAAAAGCACATATACACACACACACAAAAGCTTAACGATAGCTTTAGTATCGCTTAACTCCTTCTAGTGTGAATAAATTGGTGGCTTGGTAAACTATATTTTTAAAGTAGCTTCCCCAACAATGGTAGTAGACAGCGAGATAATGCCCATCTTTCTCTCTCTCTCTCTCTCTCTCTCTCTCTCTCTCTCTCTCTCTCTCTCTCTCTCTCTCTCTCTCTCAATTCAATTCAAGGGGCTTTGATGGCATGGGAAACATATGTTTACATTGCCAAAGCAAGTGAAATAGATAATAAACAAAAGTTAAATAAACACACTCTGTCTCTCTCTCTCTCTGAACTATTTTGTGAAAAATTTGCATATGTAAATCTGAAATGACATAGACTACAATTTGCAAGAACAGATCATTTTGGGGCCATATACTACCAGAATGTGTAATTTAGCTTATTTAACACAAAAAAAAGATTTTTCAAGTGAAAATTAGGTAGGTCTGATGACGAAAAGGAAAATAATGTATTGCCTACATCACCATTATTTTCTTTTCTTTTTGCAAAAACATGTAGTTCCAGTAGTTAGCAACACCACTACATGGCAAAAAAGTAATTAACTAATGAGAAAACTACATTTGAATTTAGTTCCAAGCTACTCCAAATAATGTAGTTAAATTACTAGTTGAACAACAAATATTGCCTGCTAGATGGGAATGATATTCTGTATCTGGGTCTCTGCCATGCACATGCACTCTAACCTCTCTAAATATCTGGGCATAATCTCATTTTGGTTTGTAGCATTTTCAATCAAAATGTTAGGTGCAATAGGGAAAGGATGCTTTTCGTGTGTGAGCACGCGCGTGTGTGAGAGAGAGTAGGAAAATACTAGGTGTTGTGTTATAGAGAGGTATTTATTTGCATTATCATGTATCAAATGAAATCACTTTATGGTAAATAGTTAAATTGAAGTATTCTTCATGCAAATTACTATACTCACTTTCTAAGCAGACATTCTATCAAATCCGACATAAATTTACTCTGGTAAATGCTGTTTGCAGGACAGAGAGCTGGCCGATGATGAAATTGAAGGTAAAATAAAATTGTGTCAGCGTCATCTCACCCTTTCCATTTGTCCTCCATTCCATGTGGTCAATGCAGCAGGGTTTCTTAGTTATAGTTGTAACTTTTTACAACCAATTTCTAAATAATGCTCAATGTTGGTTGATTTCTGATAAAATGGAAATACTTATTTTTTATAAGACTATCTTTACAGTACATTTCATGTCCATCTACCAATTATGTTTCATTTATCTTGAAGAAAACTCAAAAACAGTCTTCATCTCATTATAGATGTACCCTCTGAAGCCCATGAAAATACAGAGAAAGAAATGTTCCAACTTCCCCAAGAGGTTAGCCAACTCTTGGTCTCTCACAGTATATCTTTAGACTGATAGGTTGTTCCTACTGTCTCTTAGAGCTGCGCGAGGCATTTGCTGAGTTCGACAAGGACAAGGATGGGCTGATCAGCTGCAAGGACCTGGGCAACCTGATGAGGACAATGGGCTACATGCCCACCGAGATGGAGCTGATCGAGCTGAGCCAGAACATCAACATGAACCGTGAGTCATTAGACAATTCTCTGTTGAAAATTCAATAAACTTTTCCAGGTTCTAGAAAATTCCCAGGTTTGTCAGAAATCCCGGTTGCAGGAATCAGGAGGGAATAAGCAGGGAGGGAATTCTCCAACTTGGGATCCTCCAACCAGGACTTCAGAAAAACCTGGGAACTTTGGGAAAGTTTCAGGAATTTTGCAATAATAGAAGTAATTCAGATAAATATACAATACTGAAGAGCAACCTACCGAAGAGAAGTGAGGACCACAGTATCAGAATAGCAGAGACAACTAGAGCAAATTAAGGTTACTGGAACTCTCCTTATAATTGTTTTAATCTCTTTCAATTTCCTAGTTGGTGGGAGAGTAGACTTTGAGGACTTTGTTGAGCTGATGGCCCCAAAGCTGCTGGCTGAGACTGCTGGGATGATCGGAGTGAAAGAACTGAAGGATGCTTTCAAAGAGGTGAGAGAGAGAAGTGCTCCAAGTTCCCAGAATAACCCATCTGAAATGGTCAGGGAATTGTGCAAAGACAACCAACATGATAGCCAAACAAAAAACTTTCCTGACGCTCTCCCCTTCAACCGAGGTACTTAAGTAAAAAGACTTTACAGTACTTCTTAAGTCGTTTTTGGGGGTATCTGTACTTTACTTTGCTATTTATATATTTTTTAATGTTTTACTCCACTACATTCCTAAAGAAAATAATGTACTTTTTACTCCATACATTTTCCCTGACACCCAAAAGTACTCGTTACATTTCGAATGCTTAGCAGGACAGGAATATTGTCAAGTTAAAGATATTTATATTAAAATATAAGTAGTGACACAAGGAATAAATACATAGTGAATAATGAATAACAATAACGAGTAAAACGAGTCCAGTGTGTGTGCATAGAGTCAGTGCAAGAAAGTTAGTTCAAAATCCCCAATAATTTAACACCTTATCAAGACCATAATCCTACTCAGAACCACTTTTTTCTAGTTTTGGTATGATATTGTATGATGGTAAGATTTTGTACATTCATACCATTCTCTTAACCAGGGTTGGGATCAATATTGTTTCAATTAGTCTGACTCAATTTGAACAGCCCTGCTCTTAGCTCCCCTCCATTTAATAATATTATCTAGCTGGTTGATTATGGAAACTCAAATCCTTGCCCCCTCTCTGGTTAGTTTGACACGGACGGAGATGGCGAGATCACAACAGAGGAGTTACGAAACGCCATGACCAAGCTAATGGGGGAGCACATGTCTCGTAGAGAGATAGACGCCGTGGTACGAGAGGCTGACAACAACGGTGACGGGACAGTAGACTTTGAAGGTAAGGAGGGTTGACAACGGCCACCTAAACAACAACAAATAACATAGTCAGATGCTACAACACTCTAGACACTAACAGCAGTAACACAGATGTCAACAATGGCAGCATAGACAAAACAAAAAATAATTAAAAATAATTGGTCATTTAGCAGACGCTCTTATCCAGAGCGACTTACAGGAGCAATTAGGGTTAAGTGCCTTGCTCAAGGGCACATCGACATATTTTTCACCTAGCCGGCTCGGGGATTAGAACCAGCAACCTTTCGGTTACTGGCACAACGCTCTTAACCACTAAGCTACTAACACAGCACCAATACACATTGACATTGTTGTTGTTGACCATTGAATCCTACCGTGGGGAATGTGGAGCCATTTGAATAATATAAGTGATACAGGTTTATGTATTAATGAATTAACTGTATTAACTGTATGTTTTGTACTGTATGTTTTGTGTAGTATCTTACATTCTCCTTTTTTCTCTCCCACAGAGTTTGTTAGAATGATGTCACGCCAGTGAGAAGGACTTCTTGGAAAAAGTATTATTTCTCACACACACACACACACACACACACACACACACACACACACACACACACAAACACACACACACACACACACACACACACACACACACACACACACACACACACACACACACACACACACACACACACACACACACACACACTCACATGTTTGTTTTACTATCCTTGTGGGGATCAAACAATTGATTCCCATTAATATCCTATTTTCTCTAACCCCTAACCCTAACCTTGACCCTAACCCTAATTCTAACCCTAACCCTAAACCTAACCCCTAAGCCTAAAATAACCTTTTTCCTTGTTGGGACTGGCGAAATGTCCCCACTTGTCAGAATTGTCCTTGTTTTACTATTCTCGTGATGACTTCTGTTCCCCACAAGGATAGTAAAACCAAAACCAAACACACACACATACACATGCACACAAACACACACACAACATTGGCTGCAATTGAAACACAGCCACACATTAACAGAGAGAAAGAGGGAATATCTATGCAATCTTCAGGATGCTTTTATGCAATTAGAAAAATTATATTAAAACAAGTATTTTATTTACACACATAATACAATTTAAAAAAAAGAACACAATAATTAATAACATGACCACAAAATATAAATGTTTTTTTCAACATCAATAGTGTGTAATTTGTATATAAATGGGAAATGATGCAATGCTATTTGTCTATCTTGTTTTTTGTTTCGTTTTTGAAGGTATTTATTCTACAATAAATGATTCGGAAAAATATACTTTGGTTATGTTTACTGTATGTCAAAGGAGCATTAACACACCAATCTGAATCCAATTTCGGTTGAGCAATCACCCGTTATCAATGTCAACACATATGATATTTGGCAGACATGATCAAACATATGATCCTGCAAGTATCTCTACAATAATGGGGCATTCACATGGTCGTCGGACGTGGGAAACTTCCCAATAAGGAGGTCATAAGTCCAACATGTTTGTGTTCAATTTATTTTAAGTCAGAACAATTCTTCAACCAATAAGATTTTAGCTACAGTTGAAGTCGGTAGTTTACATACACCTTAGCCAAATACATTTAAACTCAGTTTTCACAATTCCTGACATTTAATCCTAGTAAAAGGTCCCTGTCTTAGGTTAGTTAGGATCACCACTTTATTTTAAGAATGTGAAATGTCAGAATAATATTAGAGAGAATGATTTATTTCAGCTTTTATTTCTTTCATCACATTCCCAGTGGGTCAGAAGTTTACATACACTCAATTAGTATTTGGTAGCATTGACTTTAAATTGTTTAACTTGGGTCAAACGTTTCAGGTAGCCTTCCACAAGCTTCCCATAATAAGTTGGGTGAATTTTGGCCCATTCCTACTGACAGAGCTGGTGTAACTGAATCAGGTTTGTAGGCCTCCTTGCTCGCACACACTTTTTCAGTTCTGCCCACACATTTTCTATAGGATTGAGGTCAGGGCTTTGTGATGACCACTCCAATACCTTGACTTTGTTGTCCTTAAGCCATTTTGCCACAACTTTGGAAGTATGCTTGGGGTCATTGTCCATTTGGAAGACCCATTTGCGACCAAGCTTTAACTTCCTGACTGATGTCTTGAGATGTTGCTTCAATACATCCATATACATTTTCCTTCCTCATGATGCCATCTATTTTGTGAAGTGCACCAGTCCCTCCTGCAGCAAAGCACCCCCATAGCATGATGCTGCCACCCCTGTGCTTCACGGTTGGGATGGTGTTCTTCGGCTTGCAAGCGTTCCCCTTTTTCCTCCAAACATAACAATGGTCATTATGGCCAAACAGTTCAATTTTTGTTTCATCAGACCAGAGGACATTTCTCCAAAAAGTACGCTATTTGTCCCCATGTGCAGTTGCAAACCGTAGTCTGGCTTTTTTATGGCGGTTTTGGAGCAGTGGCTTCTTCCTTGCTGAGAGGCCTTTCAGGTTATGTCGATATAGGACTCGTTTTACTGTGGATATAGATACTTTTCTACCTGTTTTCTCCAGCATCTTCACAAGGTCCTTTACTGCTGTTCTGGGATTGATTTGCACTTTTCGCACCAAAGTACGTTCAGAACGCGTCTCTTTCCTGAGCGGTATGACAGCTGCGTGGTCCCATGGTGTTTATACTTGCGTACCATTGTTTGTATAGATGAACGTGGTACCTTCAGGTGTTTGGAAATTGCTCCCAAGGATGAACCAGACTTGTGGAGGTTTACAATTTTTTTCTGAGGTCTTGGCTGATTTCTTTTGATTTTCCCATCATGTCAAGCAAAGAGGCACTGAGTTTGAAGGTAGGACCTTGAAATACATCCACAGGTACACCTCCAATTGACTCAAATGATGTCAATTAGCCTATCAGAAGCTTCTAAAGCCATGACATCATTTTCTGGAATTTTCCAAGCTGTTTAAAAGCACAGTCAACTTACTGTATGTAAACTTCTGACCCACTGGAATTGTGATACAGTGAATTATAAGTCAAATAATCTGTCTGTAAACAATTGTTGGAAAAATGACTTGTGTCATACACAAAGTAGATGTCCTAACCGACTTGCCAAAAGTATAGTTTGTCAACAAGAAATTTGTGGAGTGGTTGAAAAATGAGTTTTAATGACTCCAACATAAGTGTATGTAAACTTCCGATTTCAACTGTAGCTAGATAAGCTCACTAACGTTGCTAATAAAGTTAGCTAGCTTGCTTATCATTGACAATATGTAATTGTCAAAAACTAATTTGTTGTAATCTTTTAGTTGAAAAGGTGAAAAGCCAGTGGTGAAACGTCACAACTCGGTTAATTAAAATTTTCTCTGAGTTTCCCACTTGAAATTACGATTTAGAGGGTCATTCAAGTGAAATTTCCCAGTCGGAACTATGAACTTCAAATAACTCTGATAGCATGTGAACACCCCATAAATCCAGACCCCTTATAGAGATGGTTAGAGGCAACGCAATGTGAAATAAAAGTGACATCATCCATTTATGAATGGAGTCAGACAGGATTAACCCCTGTAAATAAACATCATGTCCACTAATCTGCATTTCTTTGAAAATCATCAGAATCCCCCTAATCTGTGTAAGGGAAGTTTGGTAGAGAACAGATGGAGTATGAAAGCTGGGGAGTAGAGTTACTTAACATAGATTTCTTTAATGTGGCTACATGAGATAAGGGGAGAAAGTTAATGTAAAAGAGTGGAGAAAGTGATAAGGGGGAGAAAGGCAGATATGAAGGAAGGAAGTTATAAAGAAAGAAAGAATTACACATATATAGCTATTCAATGTTCTACTTATACACATAGTTAATCAGTCTAAATAAAATGTTTGTAACTGGTATTGACAGATCATCAATAGGTCTTCAATTCTAACAATCACACAAATAATTTATGCACCCAACTACTATTATGACCCTTATGTTGTTTCACATAATCGTAAAGCAAAGACTTCAAAGAAACTATACATTTTGGTGTAGAAAATATTTGTATGATGAGTAAGATATGACTATGAGTTTGCATAACGGAACACGTGGGTACTATGGGTGCTTGGCTTGGGCAATGAAAAAGATAAGTCACTGTGATTACGCTGTGGGATAAAAAGGTTCAGGATTTGATGTTGGTTGCATAGGGATAGGAAGGCCGTTGGAAGGGTAAAAGTTATTGCGTGACCAAAAGTGGACACCCTGGTGATTTAACAGAGCTGCTCTCATGCTATACAGTCTCAAAATGATGACATCATGAGTCAAATGGTCAAAACATCGGATTTGGAGCTATTAAAAGCCGAAACAGAATATTTCCTTGAGCCAAAAATCTGTCAGAGGAAAAAGTGCACTCTGAGTCCCTCCTTAAATTAAGAAGCTCTAACTTTGATTAAATTCTCACCCCTTTTTTGGGGGGAGAGTGATGGGGATTTGTATGTTAATCTGGCCAGTAGCTTTCTAGTGTAGTAGAAGTAAGTTACATAATTTTCTACTTGGTCTTTGCACATTTGTTCGACTCATTAGACTCGGAAGCCAATTATTTTCGAACAATCAACATACTGCAGCACACAGACAGTGCTGGCGTGGACATATATGAGTCCGAAATGGCACCCTATTCCCTATGTAGTGCACTACTTTTGACCAGTAGTGCACTACATTGGGAATAGGGTGTTGTTTTGGACGCCGACTTTGCTACAGAGAACTGGTAGTGTAAAATGCGTGACAGACTAGGCAGGTTATCAGACGGGGTTGACAGCTGGGGCGTATTGGCTTATAACACCAATTAACAAAAGTGATGTGACACCCTCGCAGAACACGCTTTCCAGACCTAATAATTTATTTGCGCATCTGTCAAACAATCTAGAGATTAAATACAGCTGTTAGAAAGTGTATAGACCGTAGGCCATGTACTACAGTGTCAAATTGTGTATTCATACTCAGGTAGAAAATAATACACTTCTGTGATTTTAGTGAGATGAGATTTGAAAAGGGATGCACTCCTACAGGTGCGTCAGAATGTTGCTGCGCTGATTTTTTTTCACAGTGTTGGGATGGATCCCTAGGAGTCCCTTGCAGGTGCACTATAACATTATATTTTAACATTATATTAAATAAGTAGTTCCTGCACACTACTTCCTTAATTGTAAAGTTTCATGTTATTAACATTTGCAGGAGAGAGAGAGAAATTTACATTTGAACTGGCATTTCTTGACAAATGTTAAAGGCCCAGTGCAGTCAAAAACTTGATTTTCCTGTGTTTTATATATATTTCCACATTATGAGGTTGGAATAATACAGTGAAATTGTGAAAATTATGATAATGCCCTTTGAAAGACCTGTTTGAAAAGACCGCCTGAAATTTCAGCGTGTTTTGGTGGGATGGAGTTTTGGCCTGCCTGGTGACCAATAACAAAGAAAGTTCCAAACCTCTCTGCCAATAACAGCTAGTTTTCAGATTTCCCCTCCCCACTCAGACCACTCATAATTATTTGATTTTGAGATAAAAATGGCTGCATTGGCCCTTTAAGCATGAAATATCAAGCAATTACACAGCCAGATGACAAAGTCCATAATCCAAGTCCCTAATAGAAAAAAATACAGACGCAACAAAACTATAAAACTGGACAAA